CTCAGAGGATAGAGATTAAGGTTAGCTAAGCGGATCTCGTATGGCAGTGCACTTTGACCTCTTACTAATTTTGTGGCTCGCCTCTGCACCCTTTCGAGCAGATCGTAATCCTGGTGCGTCCACGGTCTCCAGGCCTGAAGTGCATATTCGAGATGGGGCCTTATAAAAGTGCCGAAGACTTTGGTGAAGCAGTCTTCATCGAAAACTACGAATGCCCGCTTGATGGCATATAGCATTGACGTTGCGGCCTTGGCCGCCTTACAGCATTGTGTAGAAGGCTTTAGGCTGTCTGCAACCCAAACTCCGAGATCTTTCTGAGTTTCTGCTTCTCGGAGTGGCATTCCGTTCAGCTGGTATTGCCGCGTACTAGGGCTCTGATTTCCGAGGCGCAGAATGGTGCATTTGTTCAAATTGAAGGACAAGAGCCATCTGCGGGACCACTCGTCCAACCGACAAAGATTTTCTTGGAAGTTGGTCTCATCGGCAGCATTCTGGATAACTTTCCAGATTTTTATGTCATCCGCAAACATGGCACAATCACAGTCCAACCCATCTACGCAATCATTGATGAACAAGAGAAAGAGAGTTGGTCCGAGCACCGAGCCTTGTGGGACCCCACTCTCTATGAATGTGCACCTTGATCGCTGTTGTTCTACGCAGACAATTTGGGAGCGGCCGACAAGGAAATTTTCGATCCATTTGAGAAGTTTGCCACCGATGCCCATAATTCGTGATGCGCAGTTCTTTGCCCCATCCCAAAGAGGTCAGTTTGCTTACTTACCATCCGGCCCTCTGGCAAAATGTACCAGTCGGTCAGTTAACATGACCGCCGTCGTGGTTCCTTATGCAAAAAATTGCATGAGATGAAGATTCAGGAGTTCGGTGTAAGTCAAATACTTTGGTCTTCCGGTCGGTCGATGGGTTTAAGTGTAGCTACTTAGTCGGTAGTTGCAAGGAGAACCGACCACTTGCTTACTGAGTCACAGTGTTGTCATCAGAATCTTTCACGTCTTAGAGTCGGAGAGTGTGAGTGCCCTTCTTTAGTAAGTGCGTGAGGGCGTACGTGAGTGAAATAAGGAGAGGGGAGTATAGCTAACTTTTATGAAAAATTGGTCAGGTGCGATTATGCAGCCCCACCCGAAGTAAACAAACCCCAGTCATCTTTATTACGGGACCGGCGGTAATAGGGGTTTTTAGAGGTGGGGCCGGGGAACGCGCAGGCGAAGAGGTTGTAGCGGGCAGCCATCATGACCGGTCTGGCGTCATTGTTCAAGACCTCGCTGCCTCAAGGTCATCCACCCTTTTGTAGTGAGCCGGTCCAGACGCGCTGACCTGAAGCCATACGACCAACAGCTCGGACATACCAGCGTCCGCACAGCCGCAGCTGCCCATGCGGCCACTTGAACGTACCTCCCCCCTGCAGCCGCAACCCAAGCCACTGGGACGCCACCCCTCGGCAAATTCAACACGCGCTTACTGGCCACCACTTGAGCGTGGCCCACGAGCCTACAAAGGCGGCTGCCACTACTATCTCAGGGACTCTCAGGCATGACTGGACGCAGTCAACACCAGCCCTGGCTTCTCCGGTGGCCACTGTCGCCTTAGAGGACAACCCCGGGTTCTGTGTACAATAAACCTCTTATTATGGTTCCCTCTGTCTTCTCCTTCCAACATGGGATTTGAATTGATTATTGTAGCTCACAGACTACACACATTCTCACTGCTGTGCAGCTACAAGGTCAAGTAGTTGTATACAAAAGAAAAGCCATTGAAAATGCGCGGTTGTTCTTTGAGTGATCGAGAAATAGTTAACCTAATCCTGACCTCTAACCCCAACCCCTATCTCGAATCCCTAACTCTAAACCCTAACCCCAACCCCAACTGCATTGCGTCTATCAGGTGGGGCTACATTGCCACATCTTACCGAAAAATTCATCTTGATGTAAAACGGAATGACAGTGCAAGGGTCTAGAACCAAGCCGGAATTTAATCTGGAATTTGATGGCCAACTGTTATTTAATCTTATTTGACTCTGCCTTCATACCCAGCTCAGGTGGGAAGGGAGGAGGAGGATGATGGAGTGCGGTAGATGCAGCGCAAGCCACCGTCCCCGCTGTCGCCTTGCCGTGAGGCACACGGTGGACATCGTCGGTAACGACGGTAGCACTGCCGATGTGCAGTTCCCTGCCCCATCACAAAGAGGTTAGTTTGCATAATCACCATCCGGCCCACAAGCAGGGATTCCGGCCGCTGCTGCAGAAAAAATATTGCATGAAGTGAGGTGCATGAAGTTAAGTGTTTCAGTCTTCTGGTTGGTCAGTGGATTGAGGTGCAAATAACTAGTCAGTAATTGCAAGAAGAACCAACTAGCTGCTCACTGAATCACAGTGTTGTCGTCGTCGTAATCTGTCACGTTTTAAAGGGTCGGAAAATGTTGTCTAGGTTCACTTGCCCTCTCCAGACCGCAGTTGCTCGTTAATTGCCACTTGCCCGGCTGACTTCTAAGTAAATATTCGAAGGAAGTCGTCTTTTGACTTAACTGCTTCTACGAGTGGCAGCCGGAACTTTTGTCACAGTCGCCTCGTGGTCAGTTTCTATTAACTGCCGACGCTGGAGAAGAAAGTTTTGCAAAACAAACAGTGAATGAGATTTTAAGGGGTCCGTCTGGACTGAAAATGCCCTGGCATCTAATTACTATTCAGGTCAGTTAGTCCCCCTCCAATGATAGTTAATATTCCCGATCACAACCAGCAGGACAACGGTTGCGTGACCCAATGGTAAACCAGTGGACTTAGGAATGCCCAGTGATTGGAAAATGCGGTTTCGAATTCGAACTTGTGACTGGATACGGCTGGCTTACAATCCAGAAGTGCCCACCCCAGTCCCCGTGTCTTTGCAGGCACTCTTTTCCGTATAAAGTTTTCGAAACACCCGTTGACACGCTATAAGTTAGATCAACAGGAAGGCTATGTTTTCCTACATTTCCTCCATTGCCATCGATTGACGAACTAGAGGTATGGATTTGTGCATAATTCAAGATAAAAATACCTCACCGCATAGACAGGAAAATCGTTTGCACGAGCCAGTCGATCTGCGGATCAGCATCCTCTTTGACTCGATAACCCTCACGGTGACGATTTAAAAACAGTACAATCAAAGGGGTCGGTGCTGTTTATTCCTTATTTCTGCTTCATTTAAATTTGTGTTTAGGTAGTTCAGGTGAGGAGGCCAAGCAATGTAATAAGGACCTAACTGAGGCTGTCTGTGCTAGCCCACCTAGGGAACCAAAGTCTTCGCCAACCCAACCGCGTGCCCGACCTACTCTGCGCTAAGATTAAGGGTCGGGTTCATTTTGACCCTGGAATAACCATCACTAGTCGGGGGGGGGGAGGGGTGAATATCCGAATAGCTCCTTCTCTGTATTGTGCAGCTCTTGCGTCGTCCCCGTTCTAACTTAGACTTCCTGATCATAGAATCCTATCACAGTCCCCCCCCCCCCAAATCGATGCTCTACCAACTAGCACGAAAAATCCTCTTAAGACGTTTGAGTAGGAGATGGCATTTAAAAAATCCCAAGTGTTTTCACTGTCGAAAGTGGTCTTCAGTCTTTTATTTCCTCCCGTTTTTCGGAGTGGAGGCAGTGAAACGGGCAGTGTGCGGTCGTAGGGCTCCTGCTTGAGTGTGGAGGCGCGGAATAAGAAATCATTCGGTTTTTCAATAAGAATGAGGAAGCTCCTCCCCCCTCCCCCCCCCCACCGCAAGCCAGGCGCCAAAGGACCGAACAGAGTATTGCCCGTTCTGAATTTGTCTTTGGTAAGACACCCCTTCAAGTTACTTTTCCACCCCTTATCCCAACTCAAACGGATACTGTTAAATTACATTTTCCCGCGTATGAATATACCTCACCGCGTAAACAGAAAATTGCTTTCACAACCCGGTCGGTCCGCGGATCATCCTATTTAATACGCTCTGCCCTTGTTACAAGTCTTGATCGTTCTACAGTCCTTGCCGAGACATTTTAAACACCATACAAGTAAAGGAGTCGGTGCTATTTATGCCTGATTTTACTGTAAAAAGTAGCGATCTTGTGTCTAACTAATCCAAGTGAGTTCAAAAATTGAATAAACGCGTACTTGAGGCAGCCTATGTTAACCCATCTAGGAAAACAGAAGTTCTGGAAACCCAATCGGGCTCCCTACGTACTCTGCGTCAATGAGGACCCAAGGTTGAGGGCCGGGCTCATTTTGGTCTCGTAAGAACTATCACTAGTCGAGGGGAAAAGACCAGAATATCTCCTCGACTGTGTTATGCGCTCTTACCCCTCTCACCCTAACTCATATTAGTTTGGTGTTGAATCCTTTTACCACTCTCTCCCTCCCAAAGTCGTTGATATATCAACTTGAGAAAAGTTTCAGCAGGAGGTACTCCTTCAAAAATCTCAAGTGCTTTCCGTGTCTAAGGTGGCCTTCAGGACTTTATTCCCACTTGGGTTTTTATTCAAAGACACGAGTTTCCATGGTTGGAGGTCACAAAACGGTACTGTCTTAAGAACAATGTATGTCGTCTCAGAGTATCTGTCTGAATGTAGCGGCAATCAATAAATACTCACAGGGTTTGCGAACAACGACAAAGAAGACCAACTTCTGGCCTTCCAATCTAAGACTGAAATGAATATTGTTTATTCTTGGTTTGTCACTGAAAACGCACCCATCCCAATTGCTTGGTTATCCTTAATACTCAAATCAAACATGCGCTGTTAAGTCAAACTTTCCAGCATATAAGGCCAGGTGATACTTTTAAAGCTTTCTTGGGCGTCATTCACGCTTCAAACACACACCTCGGAATTCATAATGCTAATAAGAGGAATTCAGATTTCTCCTGAAGTGGTTAAGAGCGTATGTTCGAGTCTCGTTTTTCGATATAATTATATTTCTACTCGCCACATATCCGATGTGTTTGTACAAAATTCCTGTGAGCTGCCTAGCAGTCGATCGTTCTCGTCAGTCGGCGTCTGTGGTCGCGGAGGAAGGATATTCCACATGGAGTCTGGGGAAGGGGTGGAAGGCGACAGATTTTGGGTCCAGCACTCCTCGTTCCAGCCCCCTTTCCCCCACCGGAGATGAGGAGGAGAAAGGTGAGGGGAGGGAGGAACATGTGGAATGTAAGCTGGATGATGCCTCGGAGGTTCCAGCTGGCACAATCGATATCCTGTCCGGAGGCATGTCCAATGAAGAGCCGCGACGAACAGACGAATGATATCCCCCGGTCAAGGAAGGATCCTGTTGGTGGTGGTAGTACTGGCATCGCGAGTTGATCAGGTTGAAAGCAATCACGATCTCCTGAAGCTTTACCTCCAGTTGGTGCTTTTCTCGGAGTAATTGGAGGATGAACTGTCTGGCCAGTTCCAAGGTGGCAATCTTCGATAGTTTGCGGCCCTGTGGCTTGCACTCATAGGGCATTACGGTGCTGAAGAGTGAATCGCATAAACAGAAAGGTAACATCGTATGAGTGTCAACGCTAGTTTTGTAGATGCACTATCTATGACAAATGTGTTATACCGTACTCCCGAAATAAATACTAGCCAAAAGCCGAGACACATGTTCCGCCTACATTGTACCATTGCATGACCCAGCCGCGAAGTTTTCGACATCTCAGCGGGTCCTCCAGCGTCCTCTATGTGGTTTCTGATATACGGACTCCAGGGAGTATTCAGGCTAGCTATTTCAAAAATTATTCTGTTCAGGACATGGAGTTAAGTCTCCGGGAAATGACTTTTTTGGGTCAGATCCGAAATCTCAATAAAAATTAGAGTCGAAGACAGTCGGAGAGACTGTGGAGTAACCAAGCAACGGTCATTCTAGGAACAAGTAGTATGAAATCTACATGACAAATGTATTATACCATACTCCTGACATGGGTACTAGCTAAAAGTCCAGATACGTGTTTCACGATATTCTGCAGTGTCCGGCATTGTCCTGTTTGCCATGTACACACTATAGCCCCTTAGCTTCGTAAAACCACTTTGATATTTGGACCTACGTAACACAGCCAACATTCCCATCCACAATAAAACCAGTATATTTCTTTCCTGTCTTACATTTACAACTCAGAGTGTGGCTACGATGCGAGGGGTTTCGGGCGTACTCACCGAAGTTCATCCATCGCTCGGTTCAAGTCCTGCATCCGTTGACGTTCTCTCATGTTTATCTTCAAACGGATACTCTGCAATTCCTCTTCTGTAATCGTGTTGAACTGGTGGGGTGTTTGCATTTCTGTCAGTCTCCGGCCCTCCTTGCTTCGACTAACGGCCAGTTTAGCCAAAATTCGCGCATTCGCGGCATTGAATTTGATTGGTCGCATACTGCGCTGCTCTCTGTCCGTACACGGTTCACCTTTACCCTTTGACAGATTCATCGCGGTGCAGATAAAGGACATCAGGTATTCGGTCCTGAGAGCTGTCGTCAACTCGTTTGTGGGCGGCTGTTTGCAGCGAAACCTGTCTCTCTAACATGGCACGGCTTAAATAATTGAGCGGAAGCTGCAGCCCCCTGATTGGCTAGTTCTTCAAACGCCCGTCTTTCCGGTCCGCGAGGACAGACTGTTGTCCTTCTGATTGGATAATGCTTGTCTGTGTGGACAAATTACGAAGCAGCAAGTTGTTGGTTGAGTGGGCTGGCGTTAGCTGGCGTTATGAGCAGTTTCGCAGATCTGAACAGTTACGGGAGTGCTTATGAACAGAAGGTAAATGTGAGAGGCCGAGGAGGAAGCTGTACACGGTCCTCGTGATCGGTACTGCGTGAGCGCTGACTGGCTCGAGAACTGTGAGGCACGCTTAACGACGTTCTCACAAAAGGGACATCCGGGCCTCCCTTGTTTTGCGAAGAAATGGGTGTGGGGAACAGGTCGTGCGTGCTAGGTGTAAACAGGCTGTCTAACCTTGTCAGCCACTGCGTCCGAGTCCACTTCCCGTCGCCTTGATATTCTCTTGTCACCGAAGCCCGGCAGGCGAGTGTGCGGTAGATGCTTCGCAAGTCTGCCTCACTATATATAAACTAATTAACGCACCAGTCACCGGCACTGTGCCCACTCTGTGGACCACGCAGTGGATGTCGCTGATTGCGACGACTGACCTCACAAACGACGATAACTCCAGTCGGGCAGTGAACAAGCATTGTTTTCGTTATTACACGTTCCGTGGCATGTATGTTGCAGGCCAATTCTTATCGATTTGGTCTGGGCAATCTGCCGGGACAGATTTAGTTTCAGCATATACCTAAATACGGAGAAAACAGATAGTCTGATCACGAGACAATGAAACAAGGAAAAGTCCTTCTTTGAGTTCATTTAGTAATCCAAATGACGCTTATTCAAAGCTTTCGGGTTTCCGATGTCTACCAAGCAGATCTATTAAAAGGAGTATTTGACTTTTCCGTAGAGATAAGACAGCCATTTAAATTATATATTAATGGTCTCCCTTATTTTCTGGACCTGGAAAACCTTATCAATTCCCGAATAATTTCGAGCCCGACATGAAGCTGCAGCTGCGACTAGGGTTTCCGAACTACCTCCTGCATACCTTATGCGTAGGGAAAATCCTGCGCAGTGAACCAGCTGGGCTTTTCGACATTTGTTATTCCACGTTTCGCAGCATAAGCGAACTCTTCTTGGTTTGTTCTGCCAACGCATAATCTGGACTAATGGACTATAATTGTACAATATAACGTGCCATAATATGAGAAGGAGGGGGCTTTTGCGGTCGGAGCCTTTTTCGATGTCTCACTTTGTTTTGAAAACCAAATTTAATTTTATTATATATGGAAGGTCGAAGTAAATATATAACGTGCTTACGAGATGGTTAGACGAAGGAAAAAGCCCTGTCCGCAGCTCATTTAAAAATTCAAATGACACCTAATCCAACCTATAGTGTTTTCGACGTCTGCAAAGCAAATCATTTAAAAATATATTTTACTTGTCGTACCGGAGAATTTGGCTTTTTCCGTACACAGAAGATAGTCGTTAAGGAATGTAAATTTAAGGTCTCCCTTAGTTGTCCGGTGCTTGGCAACGGTAGGTTGAAGGACCCCATCAACTGTCGATGGACTGTGGATCGTATGCTGATGTATGGGCTTGCGAAATCTAGTTAAACACTGATGGCTACCAGCTGTACTCTAGAGCGGAGAAACTAAAAGCGGAGATAAACTGGACATAAATCTAGGGATAGAATAAATGTCTGTCAGGGGATAGGCCCAGTTGTTTGACGGTCAGGCACTCTTTCGAGATGGAACGCCATGAAATATCCAACTGGATACCATATCTGCATATATACATCATTTTACCCGGAAGCATCGTTCATGCCGCCCGCCGTCTTCTGTGTTTTCCTGCATCTCGTCAGCTTTCTGTCCGGCGTGCTGTCCCATCCGTAAAACCGCCCTATTATCGCCATTCCCGTATGACACGGTCCACAGTATGCTGATCGTTCACCCTACCGC